GTGGAAATAAACTGTAAACTGTTTTTCATTATGCATTTTCACGCTAAATAACAATGTCGTAAGGTACTAAGAATTTCTACATAAGACAAATAAATTCTTCATAGAATATTTTTTCATTGAACTAAGTCATAATGTAGGTTGACAAGTCATTATTGTGTTTCTTAAAAGTAAGTAATTCACATAATTGTTTTGTAGTTCTGTGACTATTGAGGTGTAATAAGAGACTGCACATAGGAACTCTAAGTAACTAAGAAATCATTACAAAGTTATAGTTCAGAGCCTTCTGAAGGAGGAAAATGTTGCCATGGACATAAACTAATTAACTGTTTGTCTATAATAGGATAATTGGCAAGTAAGGATTGCCTATCTCAGGTATTATTATGTACCTACTTACATTTATCGTTAATAGGTGCTCCGATCACATTTAGTTGAAGGTAAACAGCTGTTGAACATATTTGAAACAGTAAAATGGTCGCCAACAGTACTCTGCATACTCGTACAAGGTCACCTTATCGGTGAATCACGAATATTTTCAAACAATATACTATGATTTATCTCAAAAACCCCTTGAAATGTTTTAATTTATGACATATTTGACGATGACACACATTGCATCACGCTTTAAATTTGCCGAAATAGTAGTAGCTGAGTAATCCTTGCCATAGTTAGTGTTTTTTGAAGGGTAAATGAATAATCTGGATGTCGTCTTGGCTGGGTTGCTTTTGGGAAGGCGAGCTCCATCCTTGGCTACGACATCGATTAGGTACCTACTATACGACGATCAAAAGTAATTACATTTCAGTAGGTTCAATTAAAACTTTTAAGTTGATTATGAAGGGGGATTATCATCTCACTTTGTGTAGGTTGAGTGGGAGTGTAAGACTTTAATTGACTAAAAACCACTCTAGTCCTTCTTCTCTAAGGCTCTAAGGTTTGTTCAGTAGCTCGTTCCATATAATCAAAGGCGAGTCATTTCTCTAAAGATATTCGGAAATTAAGATGATACTTTGCCCGCTCCGCGAATCAAGTCAGTCGGTTAACACATTCAGTGCCCCCGACGCGTATGTGCGTTTCCTCGCACGCACATACGCGTCGGGGGCACTGAATGTGTTAAGGCAGGTCAAGGCGAATTCTTTGGAATTATCCAAAGAATCAGCGCTAAAATTAGGTCAAAGTCAGTCAATGGGGTTTGCGTCAAAGTCTACACGTCTCAGAGACGATTTGACCGCAGACTTGATAAGAATTCTTGGAAAATTATTAATAATAAAATACACTGCACAATGCGTTTCAAGATGCAGTTTTTGACTGATTCATTCATGGTGTAGGCTTTAAGGAAAAATGGATGTGTTTATTGATCAGGTACCTCATTCTAAGACGTTTACTCGTTCAGGATGCTTAGGTAAAAAAAGATCACGCGTGCGTTCTAAGGTTGATGAATTGATGATGTCATTCAAGTACCTAGTAAATTAACATTTAGTCGTGTGTAACTCTATTTTGTCAAATGTTTACTACCTGTTATCTTGTAATGTTGGTTTAGAGTACACGATAAGAATATCTACTTATGTATTACGTATTACTTTATTGCACATCCCGTTGTGTTTATTTGCAAGATCAAGTTCATGATACATAGATAATGGGAAGATGCACGTATAACTAAGTATAATATGGTACTAGTACCTGTTATTTAGACTAGTATGTTGTCTAGTATCTACGACGCATTCCTTCATCTATAATATTTAATCTGCATACCTATCCTATCATAGTGCAATGCATTCGTGCGTTCACTCATGCACTCATGCATTCATACAGTCGCTCATTCAAATTTTATATCTTGCCAAATCACCTCAGGCTGTACGTTTAAATTATAATTACCATTTTGTATAAAAGCTCTAGAAAATGTCTTTTGAAAATATCTTGTTTGATTCATCACGAACATCTAGTGTTCTAAAATACATAAAACTAATACTTACGATTTTTACGGTTGAAAAATCGACCATGAAATAGTCTCTAGCCGCCTCGCTTGGTTGAATGGAGTGTCAGATTATAACTGACTAAAAACCCCCCGTTTCTTCTCCTACTCCAGGCGGCCGAGGACTTGACTGAACGTCGGCCCTGTTGTGGCGCGATTCTTACTGATTTAAAACATAATTTATTGCACTTGCATCCGCAAACCAAGAAGTTCACATATTATACCATTTAATAAAACACTCCCATAGTAAGTCAAGTTGTAATACGAAATCTATATGTGTGCATGTGTTTGTCCGCGGTGGACTCCTAAATTACTAAACCGATTTTAAATTTGATTTGCATTCCGTGTGCAGTTTGATCCAACTTGAAAGATAGGATAGCTTACATCTCAATTTATAGTCACAATATTATTTACCTTAGCCACAGCAACGCGTGGCTGGGTCTGGTAGTGAAATATGAATATGAATTTCGAATATAGAAAAGGTTGGCAGATAAGTACTTATTAGATTTGCCGACAGGATTTTGAGAATACATTTCGCATATTGATTGATAAAAAATAGAGCATAATATACGAGTACAAAAATATATCGGCACAAATAAAAAATGTTCGGTATTTTATATGGGAATTACAACAGGATAATTTAGTGTCATCATAATAATATGTGTGCGTAAAATAAACCTAATAATAATGAGCATTAATTGGCCGTAGGCTTTCCTACTTGATTTTATTTTGTTTTTTTCCTACATTTGCATTATATAAACTTTTGTGCAACGAAAGTGGACGCAGTTTAATATTGCACAATTGCACATTACCGTTAACTTACCGTTTACCTTTTTAAATCTTACAAGCAAATTTTTTAAATATTTATTGTAGCCAAGTGGTTCGAAATGTATCCTCCAGCTGCAGGTATGTACAATACTTATTTTCAAATTATATTATAAATCGCCACCCGGTGTTTGGTTCTTAATGCTTGTTTCTTCTGCGTCTGAGAAGCGTCACTCTATTACACTGCTACCACAGTTGATAGTTACGTTGACAAGCATACATTGAAATTGTGATTTAATGTATTATAAATTCAAGTAATAGATTCGAAATTGGGACGAATTCGGATTTTTTGTTACACTACAACTTTATCAAAGCTAATTAGATTATAAACTATTTTTTGGGCATATTTTGTGTAAAGTTAGTGTAAATCTTAGGATTATGCAAATAGAGAAATATTAGTTAAAGTCCGTAACAGGTAAAACCTAAGTTTCATTATAAAATGTTTTTTTGGTATCGTAAAAACCGTGTAACGAAATTGTTTAACAACATTCATGAAATAAATAAAAACTACATTTAGAAGAAAAATATTTGACTTAAAATGTAAGTAACAAAATTTTACAGCATTCGTGTCAAGCAGACCCCTGGCATCCGAGCTCAGATTAAATTTGTGTGAATATAGCTATCCTATGAGGTGTATACTGCTATACGTATTGCCTGGAATACGGGAGCGAGTAATTCCGTTACCCAATCAAAAATCTATTAGATCTATTCGATTAAACACAAAAAAAACATGAGATTAACATTTTTGAAACAGTAATAAGTATTAGAGTAGATATTTAATAGTAATACAGAGAAAAAACAATAAATAAACTTTTGTTTTTACTTCAGTGCCCTGGGTATTTTGAACTAAAAGATATCCGCTTACCGTCACAAGTTTTGAAGATGCAAGCACAATGATGCACCGCAGTCCGGCTCGCAGCTGGATTAACGGGGTCGTTTATATAGAGCCTAATTTTGAGAGTGACGATAATTGTTACTTATAAATCAGTTCAGAAACTTATCCTTCCCAATAGCTTCTGTTTGAGAGAGAGAGAGAGAGAGAGAGAGCTCATGGCATGGTCGTTTGGACGTAATTTAGTAGTGTAGTGGATTACGCCACCAGTATGCGATGGGTGCAAGCTTCGAGCAGGGACAAAAGATGGTACTCACAGTGTCCTGCCATTTGTCCCCATGGTACTCATCCTACTGCTTTCTAACCTACCTACGCTTACCGAAATAGGAAGGAAAATTGTTAAATTTTTCATGCTCTTATTATTACGCTATAGGAACTACGTATTTTTTCCGGGACGTTCCGTTTTTTTATTTATGTCCGTTGATCAAAATTGTATATTTCGACTAGCTATTCCCGCGCGGTTTCACTCGCTACTCGGTTCCATTTGATTGTAGCGTGATGTTTTATAGCCTTTAGAACACGGGAACATTGTAGCTATCAATAAGTGAAAGAATTTTGGGTAATCCGAACTGTTGTTCCAAATATTACCCCCTACGTACAAACTTACAAACATACAAAATTACAAATTTTACCCCTTTATAATATTAGTATAGATAAGACGATATCTTCTTAGGTTTTTCCAAATAATTTCTGATTAAATTTTTTTTTTCTGTTCAGTGTATTGTGTATAGCATCCCCGATAATGTAGGTAGAGGTGGACTAGGGCGAGGTAGAGTTGGATAATGAGATTAATTATAGGTTAAAACATAATAATTTAACAAGACTTTATCGTATCGGAATTCTGGGGATTATGGCAAACCCATTTAACGTAGATAAAGCTACCACCAGTAGAACATCACTAAGGGCTCTGGATGATGATAATCTTTCTAAAAAAGGTAATTTATTAATAACTGTCTTATAAGGAGAAAGTAGATGAAGAGGGGTTTTTCTATGAGCACGAACAAGTAGCTTCGGATTAGGACAGACCAGCAGAAAAGGTAAGGTAAAAAATAAGGTTTCATCTAAAACAAATTAAGTAATCGAAATAAATAATTTACGGTATAAACGGTACTGACCATTTTTGGTATGCAGTGAGATTCATGGGTTTTTTATTGTACGTACCTACATACTCTTACGTACACAGTTATGATTAAGGTTTAGTTTAATAATGAATCAATTTCAATGAATGAATGAATGAATGCATAAATGACGTTTATGGGACGACCCGACATGCCTCTGATAAGAGGTCACGCAAGCGAAGGTGGCATAGGATGATCAGTACAGACTTAAACCAGACGCACAGATCTCGTGCCGAGAAGCGCACGCGCCTACGCTACGTCCTCCAAGCTTTTAATATTACGCTCGGAGATCGATATAAAATTAATACAAACACCAGCTAATATTGTTTACATTTCGGAATAGTGAACAAGAGAGTGATCTAATTGCGGTTGTATTGTGGTAATTGGTATTAGAGTGGTATAAAACCTATTGATAGAGATTATAGTTCATAGTTTCATGTGGTTCTTTGTGAGTGGTCGGTGATTGTGAAATGGGTACTGTCAGGAGTAAGTTGGCTCATTGTTGCTCCCAATGTAGCTCGTGTTGTGGGTTCCGTAAATCGGATTCGTATGACCTCAAAGAACTGCCGCGACCGCCTCCATGGAATACTCCTAACAGAGAAGGTAAAGTTACATTCCCTTTAATAATTATATGTATAATTTAAAAAGACTTTTTAAACTACAAAATATTAAATTCAAGTCTCTAAAAAAGTAATTACATTTTTCAAATCCCTTAGACATTGGTCAACTTATTGTTAACTAATTTCTTAAGTTATAAAACCTGCGCCTGCGATTGACAGATGTTTTAATTCGGTAGGTCAAGGTCACCTTTATTTTTCATATTTTTGTATGATGTAAAGTCTAAATATAAAATCGATAAATTGAGACGGTGATAAAAATTCTTCCATATTAACATTTTAAGATAATGAGTTTACCTACGTAGGTTTGTATAGATGTGTTTATTAACTAAGTGTTACCTCATATTTTATAATAGATAACGCGTGTTGCTGATTAGCATAAATTGAATAAAGTCTAAGAAAACCGTATAACTTACTTGTATCGGTTCTATCAGCTGAGGAAACAGACACATAATATGCCACCTACTTACTTACTTAATAATTTAGTTACACAAGAACTCACAAGACTTTTCGAAGTTTAAAAACACACACAATTTTAAATTTAAAAAAAGAACTACGTATGATATCTTTTTGAATATTTGTCATTTAGAAAAAAACGTTGCACAGGTACAAATAATAACTATGCAAGTAGATTACTTGGCATTTTTATTTAATGTTATGTAATTATATTTTATATTACCTAGGTACGAATGGACATAATTGTTTAACTAACTTGTTTAAGGACAAATGGAACGTTTCGTACATAATACGTAGGTGTTAAGACAAATTAACTTGTCAACATTTTTAGGTATCTATAGATTCAGACTCACTTTTTGCGGCACCATTCTAATGAATCACTACTTAGGTGAATACAGTTGTATGTGTGAACAGCTGTTTAGGATGATGTTAATATAAATATTGAGAGGTAACGTTCTATTACATACTTACGATAAAAAAAAAACAGAATCGTCTTGTACCTATGTGTTGGAAATTTATTACCTAGTCTGGGATCTTGTGATTGATTTCTAAATATTTAGATTAAAATAGTATATGTAGTTAATTAAACAAATAATGCATAGAAAAACTGTATTAAAATGTTTTTTTCCATAATAGCAAACATTAATAAAACATGAATGAAAACGTAAGAAAAAAGAAAATTGAACATCTTCCAATTTTCGTGATCTGTCCTACATTCATCTGTCAGTCAGATTGAATTCTGAATTTAAATTTGACAGAAACAAACAAGGCTGACTTTATACAGCGTTTAATTTATGGGTTGCCATCGTTTTGAAGTGGGTTAAAAATAAATATTCATGGTTTTTAGCGCAGCTGGTCTCGTGGTGAACTAAACCAATATTCTTATTCGAAAACTGGGAAAGTTTGGTACTGACAACTTTGGAGACTAAGGTTTCTTTAGTGTTATACTCCCTAAAGCCTGCTTCATAAACTTAAAAGAATTTTTATTTATTTTTGAATTCCTGTGGGCTCGGGCCTCTTTTCTATTTATCAAATAGGTTTTAGTTTATTGGTTAAATTTTAGACAAAAATCCACACATGTAACTGGTCTCTGTACTTACAATATCACTACTATTTGCGCTTCCATTTATCGCTTGTGGGACAAACCTGTTTCGTCCTCAGAAGCCTCGAGCCTCGAACCTCGAACGCTACTGTTTGTAAACTGGTTTACATCTCGAGTACTTGTTGGTACATACCGATGTCAATATTACACTTCACTTGAAACTAATGAGGTTAATCATTCAATTTAAAAAGATAAAGATACCTACTTAAAACAATTCCTTTTTATCAGCTGGCAACTGTTGACTTTGTTTGACTAAAATGATAAAAGAGAGATGATATTATTCTTGGATTAGTGATTTCTTTCGTAATTTTATGAGGGCATGACGTTATTGAGATTCCATAGTGATAGGTACTAGAGATCTTGGCCAATCCGCTTTTAGCAAGCGTCTTGGTTAATGCTCAAATCTTCTCCGTGTGAGAAGAGGCCTTTGCTCAGCAGTGGGCACTTATAGGCTGATGATGACGATAGTGATGATGACTAGATATCGAGTGTTTTCATAACGGATATATCAAAATATTAACGCTTACTTATGAAGACTTTAGTTTTTCTTAAAGTGAAGCATTCTAAAGTTCATTCCACACCGGAATACATTTAGTAAATATCCTTGGCGAACCAAGTTGTAAGTAACGCTCATTGGGTCAAATGATTTATTCTTTATTACTCATAAAGAACTCGATGCAAGAAATCCCTAAGTAGGTAAAAATTCCTTTAATTGATAGTCTGTCCTTAACATTCTAAGTTTTCATACTATGTAGACATATTCTTTAGCAGTACTTTAGATGTAGTAATTAAATAGAAGAATGTAATTGTCAGCCATTAAAAATGCATATTTCGGAATATTTCTTAATAAATAAGCGAGGATGTAGTGTACGTCATAGTATAGGCGCCTGCGCATACCTAGTATGTAGTTACAAACGATATAAGTATGTGTAATTATAGGTTACGATTCCATAATTCTACATAAGGTAACATAGTATTTTTTTTTTAAGATTTTATTATAGTATTGGCAGTTTCATTAAAGGCATATTCCATCAGTAAGGTAGTTTGTTAGACCTCTATGTTAAGAGTTAGTAAAATTGACAATGCACAAGGATAATTTTATCTTACTAGACTTGAATTTTAGAAGAGATTTTTTATATGGTGTATCACAGACTCATTCTAGTTAAGAAACATTCGATCTAAAAATACCTAACATAAAAAGTTTAAACAAAACAAAAAAGTAAGTGCCAAATGGCTTAGGTCGATACCTACCTGACTAATAAGAAAACATCCTTCGTTTGAGGAAAATCTTGTGGGAAATACCCAGAGGAGATGTCTTAACTACCTAATAAGGAGACGTTGGGTCCAGATCATTTCCAACTCAACGTTTTGGAAGTATTTGGGGAAAAGCGTTGCGTTGTGTTTCGCCGTGTTAGTGAGGTTACCGGAGGCCCAATCCTTCCCCTACCCCAATCCCTCCTCAATCCCTAAATCTCCAAATCCCTAATCTCTAAAAGGTCGGCAACGCACTCGTTACTCCTTGGTTGCGGGTGTCTTTGGGCGGCGCTGATTACTTACCATCAGGTAATCCGTCTGCTCGTTTGCCAATCTATTACATAAAAAAAAACTAGATGACAATAATCATGATCCTCAAGGTCGTGTTGGCACGGTGTTGCGGATGCAAGCGCATTATCTAAAGGACCAGAGCCTCGGCTGAAGGAATGAGGGGATTTTTAGTCAGTAAGAGTCTAACACTCCCTCTCTGCTCACCCAGAATGGGCGAAATCATTAGAGTATTGTCCCCCAACAAAAAGAGGCTTCTCAAGCATAAGGCCTGTGACTTTTCATGGTTATAACTTATAAGACTGTTTTTGATCTATTTTCTGAGTTTATCTAGACACTACTGACATAAAATATACGTAGTGGAGCAAAATATTGCGAGTAAACCTAGGCTTATAATTTCTAACAATTAATTTGAAATAGATACATAATTTAAAGTAATTTGGAAACCGACTTACTCGATTTGAAACTTAACTCTATACAATTAACTGTTACATAGGGTTCTGTTTATTATTTTTTCTAAAACATCAGTTTTTGTATTTTTTTTTAATTTTAAGTGCGTTCGCATTTTAATTTAATTTAAATTTTTATTTGTTAAGCAGGGAAACCTATTATTACAGTACTGTAATATGCATATTCTGTAATATATACCATGTAACGCTGTTGGTTTTCTAAATAAAAAAAATAAAATAAAGAAAATAATCTGCCGTGCCCACGCGTGTTGATGGTGAGCAAAGACCTTTGCTCAGCAATAGGCACTTATCTGGGTTGCTCAGGTTCAGCTACTTAGTAATGTCAATATGTGAATTATTGGAATTTGCAACCATTTTCCTGTTAATTTCGTTGATTTTTTGCACCAGCACTTTACAATGACGTTCAGGAAATATTAATTTACCTAATGAAAACGTCATAATTAGCCAGGATAATTAGAAGTGATTCAATAGAATGTGGTAAATTATAGTGAGTATTTTTTATACCTAATGTACTTAGGTATTAATTATTTACTTACCGATTCACATTGTTGCGTTTGTAGTTTGTTGTAATAAGTGATATTTTAAAAACACTACTGAAAGGTTAAAAATCTATTAAGCGCCTGCACTATTTTCTTTAATTGTACTGAGTCTGCATATTTATGTAATAAAAAATCCCGGGAAATACAAACAACTAAATATATGAGAAAAAGTCTAGAGAATCAGCCAGGATAACTTCCTTCCCTTTTAAAAAGAAAGAATATAGTCGTTTTCTAAGACCAAATAGTTCTCTTATTTAAACACAAAATTTAAAAAAATACTTCATCCAAAAAACAATTTGGTGCTTGGTAGGTACATACTTACACAACAGTTAATTCAATATAGTGCCTTAAATAAAAATTAAGAATAAAACAGTAAATACCAACCTTAAACCATCAACACCTTCTACAAAGATTTTGTTGACCCTGGTCACTTATCTTCGGTGTCGACTGTACATACAAATTAGTATAAAGGAATGTCTCTCAAACAAGTTGGCAATTGGCATTAAGACATAGGGCTCGGTCATGAACACGCGGCGCTTTATACATTGCATAAAATGTTCTTAAGTGCGTGTTTTCGCGGGCGATGACGAGGTCTGCGGCTGCAATGCATAACTTTTTTGTGGTTGGGCAACTAGCTGCCGCGCAACGTGTCGCGGGTTCGATTCCCGCACGGAACAACTCTTTATGAGATCCTCAAATTCACATATTTTTGTTCCGTCCGGGTCTGGGTGCGGTGTGTATTTGAAATATTGTAAGCATAGGTACAATATTTTAAACGCGTTTGTAAACGCACCCACGCCACAAGAGAAAATCCTAGCGTGGGCCAAAGCTTTTTTCATAACATTTAGTGTCATGGATTTCCGCAAAGTAACGCCTG